ACTTTCTTTTTTTTTCTTTTTTTTTCACATGGAAATGAATGTCAATATCTTGAATTTGTGTAATACTTATTGGTAACTAGTTCTGAAAAAAGGATTAATTATAGTAAAAACGAAATGCTAATTCTATTGTAAGGGGCTGAAAATAAAACCCTGTATATTTATTAATGTGTTTACACAAACTTTTTTTGATTTTTTAACTTTACAAAGAATAGAGTATTAAATTAATATGCCATTGAAGACAAAATAATATAATTAATTTTTTTACAACCCATTTTTGATTTTTTACAGCCAATTTAAGTACACACTGTATATATAATTCAATTTTCTGTATTCCAAACATCACTTATACACTTAGAAAACTACATTTAACAAAAATAATTTTAAAAAATGTAGCAGTAAGTTGAGAAATTATTTTTTGCCACTTTTCGCGTTTTCGGCATCACTGTGCGTCGCTCACATAGTCTACCCACCAAATTTGGTCGCGATCATACGACATCAACTTTTGACGTTTCTTACGTCAAAACTAACTGTCACAGTGGTATTTGTCGTACACGGTCAAGATTATATAATATGATCGACAAAAAGGTAAAAATGATTTTTAAATGGCGTAGCTTGAAATCCGAGAAAAAATCTTCTTTTTAGAAAGAGATTTTTATGGCTGGAAACGTCTATATTTTTTAATCTTTCTATAATTATTAGTGTTCTCTACCGAATAAAAGTCACTAATTAAAGAAAAAAATATTAATAAGACACCACAGAAAAAGACATTAATTATATAAAAATGAAAAAATGGATCAGAATGAATATTCACTCAAGATATAAGGTTTTAAGTGATCTTGGAAAAAGATAACTCTACAAGAAAATACAGTTATATCGATGCACTATGAGGTACAAAAGATATCTTGTGAATTTAATAACTTTAAACGTAAATTTATTGCTGTTAAGAGATTATGTCATAAGAATATGTTAGTAAGCTAAGAGTTTTCTGGTTTTACCCTTTTTCTCCCACTGAAGTCGACGCCTATGGTTGCAGTAACTTAATTAACCCCAAGTCCCAAAAAAATCAAACCAGCGTGAGAAAGATTCTCAACGATCTAGATTAAACTGGAATAATTAGAAATACCGATAGAACTTTGAGCAACATTGTCCATGAACCATAAAATGTTTTATCTCTGAATTATTTATGAAATTATAACAGCTGTCTCTTATCTTTATAAACTATTCTCTGACAAACGTATCGTCATTGACAACAATTACGTAAAAATATATATTTAAAGGATTATCAGGATATGTTGTCGTGTTTGGTAAAGCGAATGATTTTTTAAATCCTATACATACTTAATTATTTTATCTCATTTAGGTTTTTATTTTTCAATAATATTTTTAGTGTGTACAGGGTAGGCCAAATTGGACGCTTTTAAAGGAAAACATCCTTTTTTATAGGATATAGAAGAAAACTAATATCGCTGTCTGGAGCTCAATTTTTATCAGAAACACGATGGTGAAAACGCACATTGATAAATGTTTCGGAGTTTATCAAAAATGTGCATTTTTAACAAATCGCTGTAACTTTTATATTATTGAAAATTTCGTATTTTTATGAAAATATTGGTTTAAGTATGGTTTGCATACTTAAAGTATTAAGTTTAGTAAGGTAAGTAAGTTAAGTATGGTTACATTCGTTCAGTGGCGGATACAGAGGGGGCCCATGGGGCCCGAACCCCCCCTAAAATCTCTAAATTGGGTTAAATATTAAGCTTTTGGGTTAAAAATGACGCCCTAAATAGCATATTCTACTTTACTTTTTATTTGGGCCCCCCCTAAAATAAATTCCTTTACCCGCCCCTGCATTGCTGATAAAACATGGTTTAAGCTTTGGTTTAAGTATAATTTTTTTAAAATTAATAATTTAAGAATCATCAACAGAAAATTTGATTTTTTATATGGGACACCCTGTATATTTTTAATTCATTGAGAATAATTTAAAATTGCCTTTCCAAAAATATAGCATAGTTGATATTTTGCTCGATTCCCTCTTCAAGATATAGAGTTTTTTAAAAATTCGCCCACTTTGAATAAATAGGCTTTGAACGGCGCCAGCTGTAATGCAAAAAAATGCTAGCTGTGAGCAACAATTAAAACGAAAATAATATTTGAAATGAGAGATGCAGAATTTTATAACAATTTCAACTGTATTTAACAACATCAACACATTTAAACTATATCTGATAAAAAAAAATAATAGCAAACCAAGAGATGAGATTTTGCTACAGATGTCGACCGTCTTCTGTTATGGACAGACGGGACCGTTTCCGAACATTTCTCGCGGAATTCACGTTTAGAAAGTCGAACGTTTGTGTTACACGATAAAACACTTAACGAATTTATTTTCCAACTATACACACGGTACTAATTAAATACAACAAAAAAATAACTATTTGAAAAACCTTCGCCAAATAGTCCAGAATTCGCTTATTACAGAACTCTATTCAAAGCTGATTGAGCGCTTTTTATACGATATACATTCTAGAACTCTGGCGTGTTCTTTTGGATTCCAGAAACTTCTGTTGTCTCGTTCGGGATTTTCCCCCAATGTCTAAGAGATGGCGCACTCTTGAATTCCCCGAAAGATGTCGCCACGCTTCTTGAAAATATAAACACGAACGGTTCTTCGCTCCTTCGACAGATGTCGCCATATACCTTGACATTATTTTTAGTACGATAGTCTAGAAGAGCCACTCAGAAATTTGCCTCTGGATTTTAATTTGTTTTTTTCATTTCATAATTTTGTATGCTTACAATAATTTTTACTGCTAAAACAGAGTAGATATCTAATAAAAGATGCTATACAGGGTGAGTATTTGCACTTATTTAAAGTGCAAATATTTTTAGGGCTGGTTAGGTTATAATAATAGGTAGATCTCGATAAAAAAAGTATTTTTTTCTTTACCGTTTATCAAATAAATCCAAAATAACGAGTTAGTTTACTTTGAAAATTTCCAAAAAAATAATTTTTTGCTAAAGAATCTTGCTTTTTCGTGTACCTAGTTTTTAGAAATGCATACAAATTAGAAGCTATAGAAGCTTAAATCTATAGCTATAGCTGTGATTATGTTATAACCTGTAGATTAGAGATGAGCATTACTTAGTTTAGTGACACATTACATTAGTTTTAGTGAATCGAATCACACGGTTCATTTTCTCATAATGAATCGTGTGAACCCTTCCACTCATTCTACATTTTACAAATCTGCTAGACAAGGTGTCCCAGATCCAGAAATAAGTGCAAGTATTTTAACTGTTTCCAGAGAAGAAAGAATCCAGAGAAGATCCAGTGGTTCTCAAAATTTGAACAAAAAATCTTTTTTTTTGGAGAAATTTTCGAAGTAAAATAATTCCGTTATTTTGGACTTATTTGAAAAACGATAAAGAGAAAATATGTTTTTTATCGAGATCTACCACCCCTTAAAATACTTGCACTTATTTCTGGGACACCCTGTATATTAGACCAAAATTCCTTTAAATTTAATAATTCTGCTTCTTGTTTATATGTATTTTTATTCCGAAATTATCTCCAAAACGTATATTTTGACTTTTCTTAAGTTCATCGTCAACCTTCATTTTTATTTATTTATTCAGAAATTATTCTCTTTAGTTTTTACATGGTTGTATTTGTGATTGTTTTATCGCCACGAGGTTTGAGACACTATACTAAAAATAAATCTTCCGACTCAATTTCACTATCAGTCCGAAAGAACGCGCTAGGAATGTACAGGATGTCTCCCAGGGGACTGTTTACGATATAGCAAAAATTATGTCTACACATTTTAAAAATATTCGCAAGTAAATAAATATATTTTACATAAAGTTTTTGTGTTTATTTTAATATTTGTTCCTTGTTTTATTATTTTTTTACTGGTTTATTATTTTTTTTGAAAATACAATACGGTCGGAAAAAATCTGCATTAGAGATGGCTTATAAATAAAGATCGCTGTCATTTTATATGTAAAATTATATGAGGAATATCTTCGACTGTCATTTTTAAGTCACCCAATATATCTCTGATTTTTTTTAAATGCTACAGCCTATATATTTTGTAAAAAAAATTGAATGAAGATCTCCTAAGAAAATAAAAAAAACTAATATGAAGTTTTTTTGAATCGCTCTGTATACATTATATCTCGGGATTGTCTTTACAAGTGGAGAAACTTTTTTATTACTGACATTTTGAGAAAAATATACACAGACACTTTTCCAGAATTCACTTTACACTTTTCCAAATTTCCGTACCGTTTTAGAGATAACTAAAAAAACAAACAATCAACAAAATATGGTCGAATCTTGCCCGAAAAGTCCTAAAAATCAAAACGCGTTTCTATGGTAATAGGTATAATAATTTCATTTTCATTCTTTGATAGATATTACCACAGAAACGCCTTTTAATTTTTAGGATTTTTTAGAGGAATAAAATCAACCATATTTTCATCTTAATTTTTTAATTTTCTCTACTCTATTTTTAACTATCTCTGGAAATTTGGAAAAGGGATAAACGGGATTGACCAATTTAGAATAAACAAAATTATTTTTTACAAAAAATGCATTTTTCTCAAAATGTCAATAATAAAAATATTTTTCCTCTAGTAAAGACAATCTGGGGACATACTGTATACTGTATATTAATCGAAGAAGCTTTCGGATTGATACTAAAAATACACATACACAACACATTTTGAGAGTTATTTTGATAAAAATAATCAATACAAATTCAAATATAATTTCCCAAAAAAAATAATCGTCTAAATTTTGTTTAAATTGTCCAATAGAACTTTTTGGTTCCACTGTATCTATACTGTAAATTTTCTCTTTTTTCTTGTCACGCTGTATAATTTGCTACATATAAATTACACTCTCATTGTTAATAATATAGTAAAGAAACAACGATAACATAACTAACGATTAATTTACGATCAATCACGATTACGAACTGTATTTTACTTACCTTTCCTGCTTTTCAGTAAATGTGGCTATCGCACCTAGGTTTCATTCACCAATCTCAACCAATCAAGAGCCGCCTTCGCGTTACGGCAGGAACGCGACCTGCTGCTGACTGCCAACGTTCGCCAATGTGTAACTTTATTTGTTGTAATACTTTATCGACTTATAGGATGTTCCCAGTTTTAAAAAAAATGCGCGTCTTCTCAGATCAAAACAAAGCTTAATCGATAAAACCTGTAGCAAAATAAACACAAATTACATTAGGACGTCGGTAATCTATTTTTGTTTATTTTCGGTCAACTTGTCCGCGTAATTAAGGTCTCGCCAAAATACTAACGAACGAAACTCACTTGACCGCAAAAAATACTGGTATATTTCACGTTATATTTGAAATTTCTAAATTTCCGCCTACAAGTTAATTTAAAGTGGCAACCAGTGATACGCGTTTGTAATTATCTGGTTGCATAAACTCAAATTTAATTTAAAATAATTTTAATTTTCTATAGAGACATAAAATAATTTCTGTTTCTTTTTATATAGTTTTTCCTTCTACTATTACATCGTATTATATCCGTAATATTAAAACTAAAAATGTATGTGAACAATTCGCCGCAAATACGTTAAAAATTCAGTTTGATCCATGTTTGATCTGTTTGATTTAAATATTAATAATTGCTACATATTTATTTAAATTAATGAACCCAGAATGAACCTATTTACAAGCTTACAATAAGTAATAAGTGGTTATCCGGATACAGAACATATTTTTAAGCATAAATCCTTTATTATACCTAATATTAAAATACTATGTACATCTTTACATATCTACAGAAAACCTTAAACTAGTACATATTTACAAACGTAAACTACCCATAAAGTGAAGAGTCTACTGGCTGACACCAAAAATTAAAAATCAACTAATATTAGTGCCTTAATTAGTGCTTTCAAATACAATTAAAAATGAATGCAAAAGAAGTATAAAAATAGCACATTTAAAATTCTAACCAACCTTTTTTAACACTGTCCGAATTGAATAATTGAATTAACACCCTGTGAGATATCTATACAAACAAAAAATCATTATTTTACACTTCACATGTAATTGTAGAATATCCACGTTTTAATAAATTATAAACATAAAGTCCTCATTTGCCAACCTAGTACACTCAAAAATTTTAAAAGAGAAAATAAAACGGCTGTCGTTAGTCGCCCGCTACACGGATAAATTAAATAAATGAATTTCATATTCAGTGAAGCAAAATTAGCCATAATATAAGTAGGACAAATACTGAAAGAGCAAACATAAATCTTATTATTTGTGTGATCTTTGATTGAGTTACCTTTAACTCCAGAATTTTCTCCATTTGAAGTTTTGATCACGGTTTCGATATACTCTAAAAATTCTACCAGAGCCAGTTTCAAGGTTTTGAAGACTTCTTTAAATAGCATTATGTATATATTGCATATTACCTTAAATTTTCCTTGCCTTTCATTATAATTCCATAATTCATAAGTTAATAAACAAGTAAACTAACTTTTTCAGTTATCTTCTTTGATGATAGAATTATTGAATTATTAAATTAATGGAAATATATAAATTCAAAATATTTTATACACACAGCACCAGTCTTGATAGATTTTAAAAACGATCTTGATTTAACTAAGATTGGTAGATATATGAATTAATATTATTTAAGAAACTGAAAATCAATTGTTCAAAAACTAAAAATATAAATAATATGATTATCAAATAACCGGACGATTAATTTATTGTATTCGTCCGTTTAGCAGACAGTCAACCACAGCCAAATTAACAGCTGTCTACCGTCAAACAACAGTCAGAGAAATGTCAGATGTCAGTCATCCGCCATATACCAAGTGAAAAACAAAAATAAAAATATTTTTGTATGTGGTTTGTTGTTTTTAGAAATGTCCGGTGAACCTTTATATAAAAATGAAAATAGCAGCGATTCAGAATCGGAACGTGAAGATCAACAACGTACCGGCGGTCCAGGTTTAAGTCTGGATTTAGATTTGGGCGACGATTGTGTGCACAAAGTTAAAGGAATTAGGTTAGAATTACAGGGAGATTCCGGAATTAATACTTCTGAAAGTACTAATTCGACTACACGCGATTTAAACCCTCGCAGAGATGACAATCCTTTTTCTTTTAAGCACTTTTTAAGGGATAGTGCCAATTCCAATAAAAGCTATCAATCACTTGGAGCAAGGCCGAAGGTTTATAGGTAAATAATACAAGTACTTTCTTATATTATAATGTGTCTCATAATAATTTATTACAGCGAAAACAGGCCAAAAAATGACTCTCCACCAGAGAGCACTAAGAAACCAGTGCAGAATACGAGAAATAATGAATTTTCTTCTGCACTCCCAGATTTTGTTCAAGATCATTTGATTATGGAACAGTGTTACTTAGGCAAACTGTTTTTTACCTTTTTGGTTGGCTGTTCTAATTATTTTATTTCCAGGGAAGCGAACATGTCCCAGCCCTGAATATGACTTAGACTTGCCGGACTTTACACCAACAAATAATACGAATGGGATTTCTAACCCTAGGTAGTAGTTCTGTGTAAAAAATATATGCCCACATGTTTAATATTTTATTATACAGGACAAGTCCAACAGGAGAACCAATACCACTTGATTTACCTGGACTTCCTATGAGAAATGCTTTTCCATTAGATTTACCTATATCAGCTAATATCTCAGTGGAATCTCCTAGACCCTCTTCATTGTCTGAGGTATATCTTAACTTAATATATTTTTTGTATAAGCTTTATAAATATATTTTAAAGGTGGGGAACTCTCAGAGCTTACCAGACTTTCTTACTGATGGTCCAGTAAGACCAGGACATGAACCTGTTCCATTTTCTCCCCCTGAGCCCCAAGGAATTAGACCTGAGGTATGTCGGCGGTGTTTAGAATTAAGAGGAGAGTTGGCAGCAGCTAGACAAAGGGTTTCCTTAGTTCAAGATGAAGTGGATAAAAATCATGTATGTTTACAGTAAAATGTTTATTTAAAACCTGTTTAAATTCAAGAATTTATTGATATTTTAGAGGAGAGCAGCTGTAGCTGAAAATAATGTACATAGGCTGAAGCAAGAGATTAAATCACTTAAGGTATTTTTTATAGTTAGAATAGAAATTTTAGAACAAACAATAAGGTGGTTAATTTAAATATTGAGTTTTATTTTTTCTGTGGCTTTACTTTAACTGGTATTTAATTAATTATCCAGTTATTTCAAGACTGGTATCATCACTTTTGTATACTAATGATAATATTATAGGAACAAATGAACCAATTGAGATCAGAGAATCAGGTTTTGAAACTAAATGAAGGTGCAGTAGGAGGACATTCATCTTGGAACTCCCAAGTAGATCTCTCTTCAAATAGACTGGCACAGGAGCTTAGAACAGCAGCTAGTACTGCAGAACATTCATTAAGGTACTTTTATTTGACTTTATTTACAATGGAATATGGAAATATAGACTCTCTTACGATAGTTTTTCCATTGAGAGAACATATATATGATTTTGAAAGACAACATTCAAAAATTACAAGAAATATCTAATTTTAATTTTAAATGAGAGACAAGTATCAGTAATGTTGTATTCCTTTGCCAGACAGACTCTACCTCTATATTTACCTATAATTTTAGTTTATAAGTCATATTACACACTATTTGTATGACCATAGTCAAGATCATTACAAAAACGTTATGTAGAACGAATTCAGCAGGCCCAATAACTATTGACTATTTGTCCAGTGAGAACTTAATAATCTGTGTGCCAATTCTATACAACTCTTCCTTCTGTTTAAGTCATAGATACTTTTTAAATTTTTTAAGAACATTTTTGTTAGAAGTTTTTACTAGTGGTGGGAAAAACCGATTAATTTGAATAATCGAGTACTCCAGTTTCAAGCGATTGCAATAACCGAGTGATCGCTCGAGCGAAATATTACTCGTATTTAAAAATACGGTTTTTCACCCGTCGCTTGTTGTAAGTAAGTTAACGCCAAGCAGTAAGTAGCGTACGCAGTGATGTATGGCAAGCAGCAAGCAGCGAGTCATTCGCTTGATCGCTTGATTTCTTTGAATAAGAAGACTAAGGAAGGAGCTTATCAAAAATCTTAGGTCCTCCGCGATGGGACTCAAATATGGCGACTTAAATTCCGGTTTATCAGTGCCGTTCTAATTTTATTTAAAAAATGTAAAACTATGATGTAGGGTAGAATAAATGTTGGTGGTTATTAAAATTGTTATAAAAACATATTATTATAATAAAAATAGATAAGTTTTAATAATTATTTATTAACACAAACATCCGATACGCTACTGAAGCAGGTAAGTCAAATTGACGTATCTAAATTCTTTGACATCTAATCTTTGACAAGTAGTAAATAAAAGCAAAAATGCAAGAAAAAATATATAATTAGTTAATTTAAGTGAATTTCATAAATGATCGGTTTACTACACGTATGTATATTATACAGGGTTGTTCACCACATACGACACGGAGTATTGTAGCTAAACGATGAGATTTTTACAAATTGTAAGTTTTGGGTTCGTTGAAGGACTATTAGAGCTACAATTTAAAAATATTTTTACAAGATACAGAGTGTCCCAAATAAATAAAAAATATCAAAGTTTTTTTTTTACATCGAACACCCTGTATATTATTACATTTTTAGTTTCTACGATTAAAATAGAGGTAAATTTGATTAAGGTTTATTATACTTAAACCTTACCGTTTTTGAAATATTTTCAATTTTGTGAAATTGCAGTAAAAATTTTAAAGCTTCATTTCTCCAAGGGTATCAATGTTTTTAATACTAAATATTTATTGAAGTTTATTTATTGATCAGTTATTGTGTTGCAATAATAAAAATAATACTACCTTTTACAGAGTGTCTAAAAATTTATTTTAAATAATTATTAGCTTCAAACGGCAATAACTTGTTTAATTTAAATGGAACACCCTCTATATTTTACGAGAATCAGATGCACAATTTAATTGTCTATCAAATTATATTATACCATTTTTACCTATCTCTTTAAGTTTCCGTAGAAAATGCATTTTCTTGTAATTTAGAACTTATTTATCAATATACCCATGGACTATTGACATTTTAGATTATTTTTAAAGATGTACCAAATTTTTAAAGAGTACAGATACTAATATTGTCGATATAATTCGTTTATTTCATTAAAAAATAAAAAAAAAACTGTTTAAATATTTGTTAAAGAGGATCAATTAATATGATTCCAGTATTCAAACTACATTAACTGACTGTTTGCGTTGATTAATAATAATTGCTCCAAATACTAAAAAACTGAATTTTATATGGGTATTAGACAGTGTGATAAAAAGTAACCCCTTAAAAATGATATTTCATTTTTTAATAAATGCTTATTTATAACAACAAATACTTTAACTTGATAACTTATTATTATATTGATTTCTGACTCAAAAATCCACATTTATTTATAATAATTTATTAACGAACACAATTAAGTATGTCATTAATTAGTATATGGGCGGACATAATGGTGTTATATTTAATTAATGGCATACTCTTTTATAAAGATTTAAATAGTTTTCTTTGTGCATACAAACGGGCTAGTAATATTATCGTTTTGCTAAAAACGATAATATTACTAGTCTGTACATTTTGTACATTTGTTGCTTTAAAAACAATCTAAAATGTCAATATTCCATGGATATATTGATAAATGAGGTCTAAATTTGAAGAAAACGCATTTTCTACGAAAACTTAAAGGGATAGGTAAAAAATGGTATAATATAATTTGATAGACAATTTAATTGTGCATCTGATTCTCCTAAAATATACAGGGCATTCCATTTAAATTAAAGAAGTTATTGCCGTTTGAAGCTAATAATTATTTAAAATAAATTTTTAGACACTCTGTAAAAGGTAGTATTATTTTTATTATTGCAACACAATAACTGATCAATAAATAAACTTCAATAAATATTTAGTATTAAAAACATTGATACCCTTGGAGAAATGAAGCTTTAAAATTTTTACTGCAATTTCACAAAATTGAAAATATTTCAAAAACGGTAAGGTTTAAGTATAATAAACCTTAATCAAATTTACCTCTATTTTAATCGTAGAAACTAAAAATGTAATAATATACAGGGTGTTCGATGTAAAAAAAAAACTTTGATATTTTTTATTTATTTGGGACACTCTGTATCTTGTAAAAATATTTTTAAATTGTAGCTCTAATAGTCCTTCAACGAACCCCAAACTTACAATTTGTAAAAATTTCATCGTTTAGCTACAATACTCCGTGTCGTATGTGGTGAACAACCCTGTATAGTCACCTACTAGCGAAAAGTTGTTCCATTATTTCACTCGATTTTTGCCGAGATCTACCGCACACTACACAACCAACTATTTTAGAGTCTTTTTCAATAAATCGCGATAGTGTCACTGTTAATTTAAGTTCTGCCACAATTTCCATCTAGATTTACTACCTTTATACAACTATCAGTAGTAGAATAAATAATAAATAACGTAAAATAAGCTCCGTAAAGACTGCCAAATCCACAAAATTTCAAATCAAATTCAAATGTCAAATGAATCGGAACTGTCAAGGATCCCCACCCTAGAGTCCTTTTTCCGCCCACCATGCATGAATACACGGATAGCATTATGCTCCTTCCTTAGTCTTCTTATTCAAAGCTTGATTTAGTTAAGTAAAATTTTGTCCCTCAGATACGCGACGCATAAATATATATACGGCGTTGTATAAATTTGCTACCTGCAATGTATGTAGAAAATTCGCTCGGCTTTTTATCGAGTATGTCACATTAAAATCGGATTTCAATTTATTTCTTCTAGGATTGCTTGCGTTCGTCGCTTGGTACTCGTCACTTGCATGTCTCGTTTATACTCGAGCGATGTCGTTTATTTCAATAATCGAGTAGTCGAGCGAATTTTCGCTCGAGTTATCCCATCACTAGTTGTTACCATAAATAAATGAGTTATAACGTTACATAGCATAATGTATTTTTTTATCATTTTACATGCTATTGATTTAACATAAAATAACTCAACATTTCTCAATGACTCAGTAAAAAAATATTAGTCCTTTGTTGCAAACTGTTACAGTGGCTTACAATGGATAATGTCTGATAGGATTTACATTATAGGCTTGGTGTGTTGTCATAATACTTAAGTACCTATTTGATTTTTTACTAGTGCAGTTATTGAAACTATAAAACACTCAGGTACGAGGTTTGTGTGATGTAACGCTGTTTCGGGTAGTAATTAAGTGAAAAAGAACCCGAACTAGGGGTTGTATTGTGTTGTGACAATTTCAAATGTTAATAAAGTTTCCAAAATAAATGTTAAGGCGTAAAGGAGAGCGTAATTAAGGCGTTGTTGGGTGCAATAACATTCAATAACTCAACTTTCCCGGATATTCAACTCTCCCAAAACAACATTTTATAGCTTCATAGTTTCTCACACCGATTTGATCAAAAGCAAAAATGGATTTAAACAGTTCGACGAAACCAGTGAGTAAACAAAGTGCTCATTACATAATAAAAAAAAATTATCAGCATATACTATGAGGATAAAATATAATTTGCAATATTAATAATGGTATACTTTTTTTAATCAGCTAGTGCTTACATCGTCTTCTAATCAACGTCTTCTAAAATTATAATTATGTACCTTTAAAAAACTTCGTTATAATCGAAATAGCCTCAGTTATGAACCCACTAGCAAATCCGGTGCTTAGTACCAGAGAAGAACAATCGTAGAGAAGCGACAAAACGAATCCCCCCTAAAAATTTGGAGTGGGAGTTAAACATGCTAACTGTCATCTCAACGTGTTTTCGGAATACGGCCAGCGTTGCCGTTATTAATAGAAAGTCCTGAAATCTTACTTTTTTTTTATTTGTGTATATGTGACTGTAAATGTCCGAAATGCGGTAAAACCTAGGATAAGCGCGCTAAACCTAGGATTTGCCAATGAATAACCACGTTAATAATTAGACATTTAAAACTATTAGAAAATTAAATATTTAATCGCATATATAATATATTAGCGACGCTAATTTGAGTTGTGTTATCTTTAATATAATATGGTTTTTTATGTAAAATATGATTTACAGGATGAGTCTTAAATAAGTGCAAATATTTTCAGGGCTGGTAGATCTCGATAAATGAAGCTATTTTTTTCTCTTTACCGTTTTTCAAAAAAGTCCAGAATAACCGAGATTCTTTGAAAATTAAAATAAAAATTTGCTTATATTTTCAGAACCACTGAATCTTTTCTGGGTTTTCTTTCTTTTAAATTTAATCTACCATCTATGTTCTCATATTATAAAGATATTATGTTTTTTATTCATTTTAGTTTTAATCATCTGCTGATGCACTGCAGAAATAAAGTGTTTTGGTATATTGTGGTGAATTAGTGTTTTATTTTGCTGTTGTAATACCCCAGTTCCAAACCTCAACTGTAATCATGTTATTTACTTTTTGGTTTGTTTTAACGCTTGTGATAACAGCTGATAAATATTCGAATTTTTCTTAAAATTGTTTTACTTAAAAACACACTTTCGAATATTAATTTCGAAGCAAACAATATTATCAGGTACGATTTGAAAATATCTCTCTAAAAGGGATAGGTTAGAAAATGGTTAGAACGCGGTAAATCCAGAAATCGCGGAAACCCGCTAAATCTTAAAGATAGTTACTTTTCAATATGATTCCTAAATATTTCTAATATACTTTTTACTGAACACATGTTTTTTTCAGTGTACAGCTTTTCTTATTTTTTTTGCATTCATTGAATTTCTCTCGGTGTAGCTATAAACATGCTATATCTCTCACGTACGCCAATTTGAAGGTCACAAAACTTCGTCCCCCTACTTCAATAGTGCCGACGGTTTTTGTCGCTTCTCTACAATTGTTCTTCTCTGTTAGTACTATGCTTGGCACCATAATTGAACTCATTTAAAAAGTTTTTTTTAGCTGTAATAATAAATTATAATATAAGTTAGACCTTCTGAAGATATCAAAATATTTACTTTTTTGTTTTTATTTTTAGAATTTTCACAAATTATACTTCCTAACACTTTTAGAATAATTTTATGTAACAAATTTTTCATATACTAGCTATTTAAACTAACCCCTGTATTTGTATATACCAGTTGTTTAAGATATTCTTCGATGGTGGCAGCACCGGCGGAGAATACAGCAAGCCTAACTTGCACCACTTTTTTAAATATTCATAATTTAATAACCAAAATTTATTTATAATAAATCCTTTTTTAGGCAACTACTTACAGGTGTAGACAACTTGCGAATGATGGCTTCCACTCTGGAAAATATGACAAGGATAGAGGAAAAATCTGAAAGATTTCCTAATTTTGAAGATAATGCAGGACCGGCTCTATAAGTTTTAAAGCCTACTTAAATGTATTTATTTTTTAAACTAGGTCTAGTCTACATAAGAGATATCTGCCAATATTACACAAGACCAAATTACTTTTAACTGATATGTGGTGAAGAAAAAACATACAAATGTGTATTTTTACTTTTAAGTTTATAGTATAATTGAGGTTATAAGGGCATAATATATGTTTTTTGAAGTGAGATAAATCCAGTAATTCTTAAGAATAATTTTATTTTAGTCGGTATAATTTGTTGTAATAATTTCGTTTGCTTAAATTGCTATTATATAGGCAATATTTACGGAGAAACTATGGGCTAAAATATATGTTAACACTCTGTATAGGGTGTCCCTCCCCCATTTTGATTGAAATCATACGGTTAGTAGTAAAGATAGGAGGATGCGGTTTGCACATACCATGCGGTTTGCAGTTACCTTATAGTTTTTTGTCAAACGAAAGACGTTTCTGAACTACAGGGTCTTTTCAAAATTTTTGCAATTTGGGACAGCCCCCGTATCTCCGTTATTGTGGATCATATCGAGAAGGTGGAAACTGATTCTTGCAGAACTTTTTACGTAGAATACAGTGGCGTAGTCTGTTTTTGTACGAAAAAAATATTCTTGAAAATATGAACTAAAGTTAAGTTTCTTCAAAGGCATCTTCCGTTTGACAAAAAAGTGGGACAGGTTTGTGCAAAACGCACCCTTCTATCTTCACTAATAACGGAGATACCATATGATTTCAACCAAAATGGGACACCCTGTACAACTTTTTATATAGTTATATTTCTATACAAGGTTTTTCAGTAGTCTGAAAAAGCCCCATAGCAGGCTTGAGATTTTGCTATATCAAATCCTACATAGATTTCCTAATATCATGGTATATTAGGAAATAAAGGTGGTTAAGATATATTTCAATAACCCTACTATATATCTATGAAATTATTTTTTATGGAGGGATACGAAAAAATCGTTGAATTATTCTTGATTTATATAGAGGGTGTCCCAATATTCTGTGGACATAGAAGTACTACGTATTTTTTGAATCAAAATTAGTTAATAGCATATAATTTACCTTTATACAGAAGTGCTTCGTTTGTCCATTAGAGGGCTTCAATCAAAAATAAACCTGAACGTTAATCGATTTAAAGTTTATTAATTTTTTAAGCTTTTTATGACGCTTATTGTCAAAAATAATTTGTGATAATAACATAACATTCCAATTTTTCGTCAACTAGATTATTAGAGCATAATAGATTTTATGCGCCTCCATAGTTTGATGTGACCAACAACATTTTTTGGAAGTCAGCTTCAGAAAAAAAAAATTCAAAAAGTATGTTTGGTGGCGTTTTTTACAAGAGACAAAAAATGTAGTACATACTAGAAGAACCATATTACAAAAAAATCGGTCGTTGTTGGAGTTGGAAAATATTTACACTAAAATTTTCGTAGGGGTGGGGGTAGTTTTCACCCTTCCCGTAGATTTTCTTGATTTTTGTGAATGCCAAATGTTAAAACACTTAGCAAAACATAGGCACCCCAAATCTCATTCAAATCGGAATAACGGTTCTTATTATATCTGCAAAATGTGTTTAATTTTTAAAGTTTGATGCCCTCTAACAGACAAACGAAGCACTTTTGTATAGAGGTAAATTGTATTCAATAAACTTAATTTGATTCTAGAAATATACATAGTAGTTCTATGTCCACGGAATATTGGGACACTTTGTATATAAATAAATTTGATGAAGGTAACCCTACAAATAAAATTAATTGAATAAATGCTTATATTTAGAGTTATTTATTATTTAGAATGTCTATATTTTGCTGAAAATATTTCTATTCTATAATGAACCAAATAATGATACCATAACGGTGACTTATATGGTTAATGTCATTAATTGTCATTTCTAGGTAAACTTTTAGTTTTTTTTTCGATGGTACATGTACCGGGTGTTGCATCGTCGTTGGGAACATAGGAAATTTCATGCAAAATTTAGACTGTCCAGATATTGGCTTCCCTATGGATTTTATAGCGAAGTCGTAAATAGACTTTTTAAAGGTCTACATTTGGTAAACACACATGCCAAATTTGAACAATTTTGGACAAGCCGATTTTAGGTAATTTGAGAAAAACTTAATCGATTTTTATATTTAAACCGAACAGGTAACAATGAAACACCAATCAAAAACTGACATACCTTAGGTTTACAAACTATGATTCATAGATAAATGCAACAAGTTTAGATTGGAAAGCCCGTAAAAATTTTAGGTCGCGAAATTATTTTGGGTCGCGACCGTTATACGCGATCTGGCGCTGCTATAGCGGTCGCTAAGAACAACGGCAAACAAAAACAGAAATAATTTTCTCTTGTCAAAGTCAGAATCTTCAAAAATCATAATAATCTTTCAAAATCTAAACCGCTCTCATTAAAGAAATTCAGTGTTTATAGCGTCCATTTTCAAAGTAATAATTGCTATCTTGTGAGTTTAATTCAAGTTTTATTTACTCCAACCGGTGATAATTGTGAAAAAGTGGCATTAAAACTTAAAAAGCCGTGCTGTGAACTGCAAAACCATCGTGGATCGTGGCATAACGTCCGTTTCCAATGTTTTATAGGTATTTCATACATGCGTCCTTATATAAAATAAAGTTTCTTGTATGCAACACACTGTCTTTTATTTATAATTAAACGAAATTAATAATAAATTTCGAAGTCGTAAATAGACTTTTTAAAGGTCTACATTTGGTAAACACACATGCCAAATTTGAACAATTTTGGACAAGCCGATTTTAGGTAATTTGAGAAAAACTTAATCGATTTTTATATTAAAACCGAACAGGTAACAATGAAACACCAATCAAAAACTGACATACCTTAGGTTTACAAACTATGATTTTGTCATTGTCAAAAGTAATTTAATTTTAATAAAATTTTAATATTTAGGGAACATTAACCGGAACATTTAGATACACTGTCTAATCTATTTTCCGCGTATTTTATCATGTTCACTTTTTCTTTATGTGTATAACAATAAATTATTACTAGTACTGAATATTATAATTTTATTAAAATTAAGTTACGTTTGAAAATGACGCTGACAACTTAAGGAATGTCAGTTTTTGACTGGTGTTTGATTGTTACCTATTCAGTTTTAATTTAAATATCGATTAAGTTTTTCTCAAATTACCTAAAATCGGCTTGTCCAAAATTGTTCAAAATTGGCATGTGTTCCATAGGGGAGCCAATATCTGGACAGTCTAAATTTTGCATGGGATTTCCTATGTTCCCAATGACGCGCGACGCCGACGATGCAACACCCGGTATAGTTTATATGAAGTCAGTTGGAACAGATTGGGACTCTTAAGGAATTAACAGTCTCATTACAATTGACTTCGGAAATACTATACTCTATAATTAAATTAATTTTTGCTCTGGTTTAGTTTTTATTTGTGCCATTCTTACAGTTCATATTCCGCCATGATAGGCAAACTTAAATAATGACACTAATAAAACAGGCGATACGGAACATAATTTGTAAAATAAAGCATGTCCATGGAGTCGGGAAAGATTTTGACAGACGAAATACTAAATATGACAGAAAACGCAATTTATCTGTGAAATATCTTAAAATGACACAGACTATACAACTGTCATGTTTCCTTTCCTTGGACGGGCTATAACTTTACACAAATGAATAATTGATTGTTTCTTTTAATATTAAAATTATTAGGTTAGTAAATTTGTTGTACCAGTTAGATGGAACAAATTATCACTCTGAGCTTTAATAGGTGTAGTTAACGATATTATTTTTATTTTGTGTTTGGTTAAGAATAAACAATGTGTAACAGTTGTGTCATGGAAATGCTTAAACTAAAATATATACAGATATGTATTTAAATATTTTGTTCACGACAAGTTATTACATATGTATTGATTATTTTTGCTAACTATACATATAAATGTTCTAATAACAATCACTTGAATATGTCCCCATATATGTTATAAACAAAGAAGGTGTTTATAATAAAAACATTTCTGTAAGTAATTTGTGTTTTAATAAACAATAACTTTATAGCCTATAAAAATCCATATTTTTAAAAAATTTAATATATAGGAATACACCTGAAAATTGGTGTTATCACAGGTATTATAACAGCAAAATAAAGCACTAGTTTGTATCAAATCATGTTTACCAATTCGGATTCTAAGCTCCATTTCTAAAAACTATCAAGACTGGAGCTTTTTAAAACACTCAAATGAAAAGAATTATATATCGTTTTCATCTTTGCAAGTAAATAGTCGGCCAATTAAAAATGTCGGCGCCTATTCTAATTATCCTAAAAAAACTCGCAAGATAAGAGGAAGGTAGGAAAATCATTATTTAGAATTATTAAATAATTACTTTTTTCAAATATGCAATAATTATGTTGAGTAATGTATTTTGCACATATAATCATGTGACTAAAACTTTATTTGGTATGATCAGTGTCGGACTAAGGAGGGGGGTGGGGCGGAAGGGGCGGTCCGCCGCTGGCCCCGTCTTTTAGGGGGCCTCCGAATCTTAATAAGTAATTTTTTATTCAACTGGTAAACAAGGCCAATATGTGTCCAGTAGTTATAAAGCAGTTTGTAGGTGGAGTATGCAAACCATACGTATACCCCAACTATAAACAGTATAAATGGAAGCAGATAGGTATTTACTTAATTATCAATTATTAGGCCCCAGTAATTGTCAATGGCTTTTTCTTCAAAATGACAACCAATGCACAGCATAACTTGTATTCTAGCTTCATTACTGATGATGAGCAGTGAAGTCTTTAGTATAACGTGGGCCACGGGCCTGAGACAGCGAAGGGGCCCCTCGGATCTTGGAGGACTTACAAAGTCGCGGTATTTTTTAAATAAAATAATATTTTGTCGCGGAAAAAATATTTACCATTTTTTGACAAAAAAAAACTACCTGTCAAGAAAATTTGTACAGCCTAAAAGTCAAATTTAGTGATTATCACAGCCCCTGTGACATAAAGAAAAGACATGTGGCTATCTATTTCAAAAATTAAATTGTTCAAATGTCATATAAGAATGGCGGTATCTGTCATGGAATTGAGCGATTAAAAAATTATTATAAATATTTTTTTTTTAAATGGAAACCAACTTTTTTTATTTCACTAGTGAAAAGGTTTTCCAATTTGTTACGTTTTAACTAGACGTATTCCTGTACCTAAAATAAATCGTTTTTAAGTTATTTAAGATTTAGTTTGAAAACGTATATTATTTGATATTAAGTGTCAAACAGTCAGACAATCTGTCAGAAAATGAATTATTTGAATTTCCTATATTATAACTACTGCTGCTTAAAAGTTTAAAAAGTGTATAAAGTTTAAAAAGTGTCTATATATATACCTCCGTATTTTCGTTCTTTAGTGATATCTAATAGTTGATATTTTAATAATATACCGTACGATAAAAAAAAACAGCGCAAAGTTAGCTTGGAAATGATGATCGATAATATACTGGCGAGGTTAAAATCAAGAAAAATATAC